TATGATTAGTGTGCTTCACAGAGTATGGTAAAACAAGGATTGAACACCAGTATGATGAATTTTTGAAACCCACATCAAAAGATCTTGATATTACAACATAAAATGCATCCTCACAAAATACCAAAAATAATTAGGGTAACAGATGGATATCTGCTCCTTTTTTAAAAAAACAGACAGCTGTTCTCGAACAGATCCCACAATCAACTGGTAGAGATGATAATTTGCTTGGGTTCTTGATAGAAGCCCTAGTCTGACTGCTGTGACATACATGCATTTGCTCACTCAATGCAATGCCTTAGAGTGTTTTTTTTGGAGAAAGAAACAGTAAAGGAGCAAATGTTTGCATTAACATTTCCCACCTTTTGGTGAACAAATTAAAACATTACATTTCTTTATCCTTATTTTATTGAGTCTACGTGTAACTATTCCAGTTACTGTTAGCTTTTTAATTCCTGATTGGATTACGAATCAGAGCCTTGTCTTTGTTCCATACCAATTCCAATTACCTTGACTTCAATTGACTGTGAAGCTAAGTCATATAAGATTTAAGAATTTGTTTTCGAAAGTATGTCTGGCATATAGTGAAATATTAAAAACTAGTGAGACAATCTCGGATAGTGCAGAGTGCAATTTACGGCTTTGATACAGTAGTCACACAGGTCCTCAGCCCTGCTGTTCTCTCCCTTGGTAGTCAACTAGGTCTTTTCCCCTTTGCAGAATATGAGCGTACAAAAACTTGATAAGACATAATCTTAGCAGTGCATGTGTGTATGTTTCATGTTTGTATTTTCTTTCAAGACCTAAAAATAATTACCGTTTCTTAAGAGAGTTTTAAATTTTATTGTGGTATTTTACATTGAGTTTCGTTCATTTTAAATTGAATATAGAGGTAGCAAATGTGACAATTTTACTTTTCACGCCAACGTTTGTAACTTGATACTTTTGTTTCCCTCACCAATGTGTGTAACAAGACACCTTTGTTTCCACAAAAGTATAAGGAAGATGAATAATTTTTTTACTCACTACTGGAGATAAATAGAACATAAAGTTAAATATCGATAAACAAGAACTAATCTAATTATCAAATAGTTACCTCGAGTCACAGAATAGTGCATTCCTATTCTGTTGCCAGCTTTGGTGTTAACAATAACACCACGTCAAACTAATACACAATGCTATCAAGTAATACAACTGAGGGGCATTTACATGAGAAGTATTGAAGGTAGAGATTGTTACTTGATCAAAATTAAAACCCACATCAGTGAGCGAGTCACCTCATAGATTGATGAAATTAATTGGCGGCTTCAGTAAGTGCCACGGAGTCTGCGGCAATAATTGCAAAGTTTCCTCTGTCACAAATTTACATGTAACTAACTTAAGAAAGTTTCAGCTGAATATGAACTTTTCGTTCTCTTTCATAGAAGAAAGAACAAACAAGCTGCTAAGGAGAAGCAATATGTTTCCATTCTTTATTTGAACCCTGGCAAACACACAATAGTTGTAAAACAGCAGACAACATTTCTTGAATTGAGCTAGGGAAGTTTCCAGAGGATACGCAGTCACAGTAGCATTCTTTGCATTAATAAAAAAAGGATAACTGACATTACCTGAGTGTAGGCGCTCTTCCCAGTCAAAATGAGAGTGTGGTATCACTCAAAAAATAAAAAGTGTAGATCATATATTTATAGATGTATAGATTATATATTTGTTCTACCTGAAGGAAAAGCACTCAACGTTCGTGGGTAGTCCCATATGAAATGCATCTTTCGCCTGACATATAGTCGACTTTGACGCTAACTAATCTACACATGCATTTCGAGCAAATTGCTTTTGTTCTTAAGAGAATAGCACCACAAGGATAGAAAGAAATTTGCAAAAACATATATAATATATATATATATATATATATATATATAGAAAGTTAAAAAATTGTGAGGACGGACAACTTCTGACGTAAAAAAAGATTAAAAAATTTAATAAAAAACATTTCGGTCAGAGACCTTCTTCAGTTATTACAACTTTTAAATAAAAATGAGCTTTAAATAAGATTAAGGTGCTAGTG